CTCCAATTCCCTTCCCAGCTTGAAAATTTTCCTGCACAAAAACAAAAGTCTATAGCATAACGTCTTAAAAATCCCTTTACCCACAGACGCTTCTCACTCGCAAAACAATCCATTAATATTCACTGTCATGCACCGGAAACCTACTTATGTGATTTCACCCTCTGCCCCATTTCACCTTTCACTGACACGCTACCAGTGTGTCTGCTTCTTCCACTTTTCTCTCCACTGCCCACTTGTGGCTTCCCTGATCCAACACCGGACCAGGCGTACCTTTAGAGCTCCCCCGCACCACATCAACCCACGGCTTTTTTCCCCGGTCTCTGTGCCGGGGTCCCAAAAAATCATCCGATCGGAATATGTCGCCGCCCTCTTACGGTTGACACCTCTCCGCATCCATTTCCAACTCATTGGTGCCTCCCTGTGAATCTCAGCTTTTATCTCAATCACTTCCACCACTTCCTGGCGAGTCATCTGCCATTTCGCCAATCTTAAGTTGCTTATCTTCAATCTGAACAGACTCCTCACCATCCTCAATTTATCCTCAGAACCTTCTTCTCAAAGGATTTTTCCTTCACGTTCACCGTAGCCTCTCTCTACCGCACTTCACCACTCTGCACAGTCTTTTCCCCGGGCTCCCAAAGGGACATGCCTCACATCCCACTAACTGTGACAGTGATGGGCTGGTACCCACCAGTGGCAGCTACGCCCACTTCCTCACTTTCCCGGAAGTGCCACTTCTATGTACAGGTGACTCATCAGCATGACCCACCTCCGGTTCTGGCTCTTTCACCCCTCTCACTACCTAGTTCCTGTCTCCGCTGCCATTCCCACACTGGGCCCCCATATGGTTTATATACCACATAACCTAAAGGTCTTCGCTGCCAGCGTAGTACACCATTACCTGCGTCCAGTATGACGTAAGACGGGATGGAATGCCTCAACGTCATCTTGAGCGTGAACGTACCATCCGGCAAGCCGGCATACGCCCCATCCGTCCATTTACCAGCCATAGCCAGGTGTACAGTTCCATACTGTTCAAATACATTCCGCAGGCCCGTCTCGTCCGCCTCAAATGGCACATTTTTTGGACTTTCACCCATGTGTAATGCCTAGACACGTCGATGAGTCGAACACGTATCGCTGAATTAACGTCCACACTCCCGTCCTGGTACTTGTCAACCAGCCGTTCATACACTCCAGCTGATCTCAACTTTACGAAAATACGATAGGCACCATTTAGCGCCACACCATACAGTTCTTGATCCGCAACACCATAGGTGTCACGGATAATTTGCGGTAAAAGCACTTGTGCAGACTGAGGCGTTATTGCACCACGCACCAATTCAAGGCACACTGTGTGCACACGCCTTCTCACAGACTGCGCCATGTTGTGAAAATATAAGTCTCCTCCAATGGCCAGCAGAGGGCAGTAGTCACACGTCCGCACTCTGCTCAGGTCAAGCGGCGAATGAACTGTGAATGTCGGGGTATTAGGTGTCTTAGTGTTTCCTCATATGTAATCATACATGTTAGATCTGTAAAAGTCTAATGTTAATTATTAAACTCTCTTTGCATATTTTGATTCCTTTTTCAATATATGCAAAACCAAAAATAAAGAACATGTTTCAATTTCAAGAGTCACGTTGGTTTCTGTTAGTTATTTTATATAACCATAGTACCATTGAGTGTGCAATGCGTTAGTTTATATGAAATTGTTTTTGTATATAAAATTTCATATACAATATGAATAAGACTGTCAGGTTTTGGTTATATAGTTATTCTGTGGTTAAGATATGTTCCGGTAGTCCTCTGTTTAGTTATATGTTGTCTTATATAAAGTTTTCGCGTTTTTTGTTTTAAATCATTTATGTATACCATCCATGTATACTGTGTTTTTAAATAAAATATAAAAAAAAATAGCTTTCATGTTATGTAAACACAGGACATGTGTAACATTTTATTAGCGGTATCTGTAAGAGCAGTTGTGTATGTAATTTAAGTCATTCAGTATTGTATACATTGTTTAAGGGATGATTACTTGGTGAGTAGATAGGACAAGAACTTATACACAGAGGGAGACACGCTGAGAGATTACTTTAATCCCTGTTTTAGGGAGTGAAGTATTATTTACAGGTTACGTGTAGGTTTAGTGACCCTCGTGAATTCGACAGGCTTTAAGCCCAGTTTTCCTGCATCAAGGACCTGCCCATTCACCTCCCTTGTGAAGTGAAATAAATACTAAGGTGAGTCTGATTATAATGATAGCTTTTGTGAGGTTAATTTTATTTATCTACTCTCATTTTTAAATAGGATGCGTAATTTTTAGCATTTTTTGGGGTATGAATTCAAAATGCATATTAAATATATATAACAATAAAGTTTTCAGAAAGGTTAATCATTCACTTCATAAAATAAAGCTAATAAGAAGTTTTTTGGTGTCCTGTTTTCTACATAACTTCTTGAAGGTCAACACAACGACGCGTCGTCGTCGTCGTCGTCGTCGTCGTCGTTCTCGTCGTCGCAATATCTGGATATAGTAATTTTTTTATGTATATGTTACCAGGATGAAATGAAATCACACTTGCAGTTTATGACATTTATTGAACCTGTAGTGACTGCTGATAAGAACTTGATTATAACCAATTTCTCTGCCTGATCAGTACAATAATTTCTCTCGTAAAAAAAAAGGCTTTTGTAACAGCCAAAAAGGTATACTGGACATGTATTGGCAACCAACCTCAGGAGAGTAAATATGTGTGTGCTAAAGGAGATGTCCTGTATTTAGAACCCCGGAAGAATCAACGGTGATTATAAGGAGTTTTCAGGTATGATTTGTAGACATATAGAAGAATTTTTTTTTATGTATATGTATTCGCTGTGGATGCCTCAGGAAACCTAATGTTCAGATACAGCTCAAAGGTCCGGAAAATATTGAGAGAAGAGGAGTAATGGCAATACATATTGTACATTAACAAAAATTTATGAAAAAAAGCGGTCTATGTCTAATCGTCTGTCAAAAAAGAAGACTAAATAAGACAAATGGTGCAGCCTTTCGTGTGTTATGAGACCCAGGTCTCATAACAAGTTCTCTCGACTTAGTGAAGCTCTTCCGACCTTGTGAAGCTGTTTCAGAGTCCTGCTTCAAGCCTCGTTTGTCCTTATTAAAGTATTCGTTACCTGGGAATAAGCTCATGGTGGTTCAGTAGATAACATGGTGCAGTGTTGTTATAGTTGATGTAAGGCTACAGAAGGACATTTATAATTTTATGATATTGAAGTTACATTTAGAGAGTAGTTATAATGCTGTTATAGGATTGCACAGAACACAAAACAACTTTTATCGGTATATTACATAGTGAAATATGATTATTTAATATCATTGAACACAGTGTAGAACTACCAAGCGTAATACTTAAATGTCTGGCTTACTTTCATATCGCTGTAGGCCTGCTCGCTATTTTTCATAGGCGTGCTTGCCACTTTCCATAGGAGGCCCACTTGTAAATTTCCACGGTAGGCCTACTCCCAATTTCTATAGGCCTACTCGCCAATTTATATAGGCCTGTTCAATTTTCGTAGTAGGCCTCGTTAATTTCCATAGGCCTTCCCAATATCCACGGTAGGCCTACTAGCTAATTCTAGATCAACACAACTTTCTTAGGATAAGTTGTGTTTATCTGGTTGGTGACGTGACAGACTTCTCAATAGAGGTACCTTGATGCAGGTGCTCTTGATCCAAGGAACTGGACGCATCCTCCCTTTTCTTGGATCGAACCTGATTGCCTGATCCATTCACAGGGACTATTTGATCCCTGCGGGCTTAGCGCTTCCCTCAAATTATAAAAATTTCAGATTCAGAAGAAAGACTTTGCTGAAGTGGTCTTGATAGTATGATAAGTCATACACGTCTGGGTCTTGATGGTATGATAGTCATACACGTCTGGGTCTTGATGGTATGATAGTCATACACGTCTGGGTCTTGATGGTACGATAGTCATACACGTCTGGGTCTTGATGGTACGATAGTCATACACGTCTGGGTCTTGATGGTATGATAGTCATATACGTCTAGGTCTTGATAGTACCATAGTCGTACACATTTGGGTCTTGATGGTATGATAGTCATACACGTCTAGGTCTTGTTAGCTAGTTTAGGGTAAACACATGTCCTCCTGTGTCAACATGAAGTTTTAAACTCCACTGTGAGTGTTAGAAGGATTAAAATGTACGAGTGTTAGAGAGGTCAGAATTGTGGGTGTTGGGAGAGAATTATGGGGGTTACAGGGGCTAGAATTGTGGGTATTACAGGGGCTAGAATTGTGGGTGTTACAGGGGCTAGAATTGTGGATATTACAGGGGTTAGAAATGAGGGTGTTACAGGAGATCAGAATTGGATAAAATAATACAGAACTGGGATACCTCTTCACTTGTTTATTAACTTAATGTAACTTGGAAATTCACCTCAAGGTGCCAAAGAATTACCTTCTACATTATATTAATTTAAAAATAAGAAAAATATAAACCTCACATTTTGCAACACACACACACACTAATATATATATATATATATATATATATATATATATATATATATATATATATATATATATATATATATATATATATATATATATATATATATATATAATGTGTGAGACAAGTTTCAATAATAAAGCTAAACATAATTTAAAATAGAAAATGACTAGATTCTAGTAGATTGCCTTGCTACATTGTGGATATTATCCTCACTAAAGGGCGAACAAATTTCAAAAAGTAAACAGAGCCCCGAAGTGAGCATAACGTTGTGATTTACCAAGGGGTGTGGATCCTCCCTCTTGAGGGATGCTGACACAGTAACTTACTCCTAGAGGGGGGAATTAAACTACATCTGTGTGATCCGCTGAACCTGAGTGATCAGCGAATACAAACCGTAGACAACGTTCATATTCAGATTGCAGATATTATTTTGCCTATTTATATATATAATGTTTTTGATGGAATGGAAGAGGAAGAGGTTGGTCGGGGTTAGTCTTGACTACTTGGTTCAGATCCGCCGGTCACGCCAGATGGGGAAAGGAATTACGAAGTGTTGCTGGCTGTGAAGTCAGCAATACACGCCGAGGTACCTGAACAATAGGGATACATATATATATGTATATATTAGAAGCTTGTTTAAATTGACCGATGGGTCGGCTCATTGATCTACCTGGGCAACAAATTAGTCTGACGCTGAGATTGGAAGAATTTACACTGGCTCAAATGCTTCCAACGTATTTTAACGAATTCCTTTTTAACATCATATTTGTATAACATTTTAGTGGGCGGTAGAGCTAAAAGCTTTGTATATTGTGTTATGGATAATTTTTTCATTATTTTATTAAAAATCGGCCGTTTCCCACCAAGGCAGGGTGACCCGGAAAAGAAACACTTTCATTATCATTCACTCCACTGTCTTGCTAGAGGCATACCTATACTACAGTTATAAAACTGCAACATTAACACCCCTCCTTCAGAGTGCAGGCACTGTACTTCCCACCTCCAGGACTCAAGTCCAGCCTGCCGGTTTCCCTGAATCCCTTCATAAATTTGTCGTATATAATCAAAATAGACATAAATACATAAATATATACAAATGTTAAAAAAAAATATAGGGCTGGTCAGATTGTGAATATATATATATATATATATATATATATATATATATATATATATATTATATATATATATTATATATATTATATATATATATATATATATATATAAAATATGTGGTGCCGAATAGGTAAAACTGGTTAATTGTCAATTAGCAAGAACTTATTTAAAATTAAGTCCTTTCTAAAATTTTCTCTTACACGTTTAAATTATTTTTATTTCATTTTTAACGTAAAAATTAATAATTTTGTACCAAAAGAACCTTAAAAAACTTAACCTATATATATATATATATATATATATATATATATATATATATATATATATATATATATATATATATATATATATATACATATATATATATATATATGATCTTATTCCGAAAATAGTTTGAATAAATGTAAAGAGTGAAAATATTAAAGACAGTCTAGCTGAATAAAATTTATCGGAGAAATATTAATTAGAATATGTATGTTTATGCTTCGTAAATTTTTTTGGCTGATATTACTCTTTTTAATAATATTAAATTGAATTAACACCCGTATTGATCCTGAACTGGGAGATACAGGAGTAAGAGAGAGAAAATGGAACCCAGTATTAAATTTCATGTACATGATAACTAAGCCCATAATATACATGATTTAAAGAAGTATAGCCACACTCGGACCAACATAGAAGTGTGTGCTGAAGAAAAGGAAGGAAAATGGTAAACCCAAGTGAAGGGGAGCTGACCTTAAGGTCTTCATTTCTTCTCAGTTTGTGGGAACCAGGCAGCACACGCCTCCACGGCCACCTGACAGGCGGACGCCAGGGCCTTGCCAGGCTCGTACACTGCAATAGAAAACGACCGAAGGTTAGTCACAGGCCACACTGCTCTCATCTGTAATCCAGGTTGGTTCATTAATTTAGCTGGCTGCAATTAGTTAGTCCTAGCATCTGCTTATGTCTTTTACATAACTTATTATTTTGCTGTTGAACGCAGATACTGAAGTAACCAAGTATCACTATCACACACACTTTGTCTGAATTTTTATGGGTTATCCTAGGTAATTTTCACATGTTACTATACATGATAATTTGTGTAAATGTATTTATGTGTAACTGTACCTCAATAAACTTACTTTTGGCCAGATTCTGAACACAACTCATGAACAGCGTTTTTACTAATATAAGTAAGTTTATTTAGACACAGGTACACACAAGTAAAATTATCATACATAATGTAAATTTCCTAAGATAACCCCCAAAAATGTAAGTTTATTTAGGTACTGATATACACAAGTACGGTTACACAAACTGAGTGTCGCTTTGCGGAGAAACACTTCAAATCCTAAATTCTCCAGGTTATTATCACGTATGTAATTACTGTTGTCTGAACAGAGGCAACAGGTGCAAGGAAATGTGATTAACATTTCCACCAGTTTTTTTTTTTTTGGGGGGGGGGATTCTTAACTATGTTTAAAATTACGCACAGAAGATGTGGCTAAAATGCCTTAATCTGTCACGGATGATGATGGAAAGAGACGTGAGTGGTGGTAGATAGATAGATAGATAGATAGATAGAGAGAGAGAGAGAGAGAGAGAGAGAGAGAGAGAGAGAGAGAGAGAGAGAGAGAGAGAGAGAGAGAGAGAGGGAGAGAGAGAGAGAGAGAGAGGGAAGGGGAAGAGTGAGTAGGTGAGTGATGTCAGTCAACTCAAACTAACTTTCTCGTCGTTTATCAAGTGGGAAGCCGAACTCCGTCTTCAGAGTTGAAAGTTTTCTTTGCTAGCATAAGTTCGTCAGAGAAAACTAGTAGCTTCTTACTGGGGAACTTATTTAAACAGAATTCTCTCTGCCTTCTAAGTTAAATAATGTTTAGAAATAAGACTCAAAAATGTCTGAGGAAAAGCTGTGCAGATTATTCTCTTACAAGCTATATACTCTGTACCTTCATCTCCGCCAATCTTTGGCCGCCATCAAAAGCTAGCAGTCGTTGCTTAATTGAATTGCCTCTCTCTCCTCCCTACACCCCGAGGCAATCACAAAACACCTTTATTTTCACATCAACAACTGATTCAATCAAAATCCTGATTCTTTTTTTTTTATAACTCCGCCAATCAGCAACCATCTTCTTCCTTTAGCCAGTTCGTTTAACCCAGCCAATCAGAGGCCAGCTTCTTTATTTACCCAGCCTAACTGTGACTAGTTTCCTGATTTATCTGTCCAATTAGCGACCAGCTTTCTAATTTATCTGTCTAATCAGGGACAAGCTTCCTTATTTACCCGGCCAATCAGCTACCAGTTTCCTTATTTACCCGGCCAACCAGCGACCAGTTTCCTTATTTACCCAGCCAATCAGCGACCAGCTTCTTTATTTACCCGACTAATCAGCGACCAGCTTCCTTATTTATGTGACCAATCAGCGACTAGTTTCCTTGTTTACCCGGCCAATCAGCGACTAGCTTCCTTATTTACCCGGCCAATCAGCGACCAGCTTTCCTTATTTACCCTGCCAATACGTGATCAACGCTCTTGTGTAACCTCTTCAGTGAGGATGGTGATGGGGCCCGTGACGCCGGTCGAGTGTAAATAATATCAGTATTTCAATCTTGTATCTTCGTGGCTCCTTGAAACAACATTTTAGTCAGGATAATGGAACAATTTGTAGCGTGAAGGTTTCTATCACTTGTAACCCAATGGTGAGGAAAAAGTGAAAGGGAGAGTGAAAAGGGGTGAGTGGAGGAGAGAAAGGAGAAGTGAATGGTAGAGCTTGCTCTTTTCTCTGATTGACTGATTCGACTTCTGGATAAGGTAGGGAGAGGCCAGTGCAAGGCGACTCGTCTCTTGCCTCGACTCAGCCTAATTGGAAATGACATTTCCGCAAAGCCTCGAACACCGGCAAGACGCTGGTAGTCTTACTCTTACGTACAGTGTCAATGTTCTCAAGGTCCTCCATCTGTCTCAACTTAATGGACAACAAAAAGATGACAGCTATTACGCCGCCAGATGGGCAGCCATCGCCAGTTTAACTCTGGCTGCAAACATCTCGGCTACAACTCCATCAGTGATCATTCCTGTCCATGCGTGCCGTGATCTAGACTGAGAAACACTTGCCGGGCCGACGGCCTAGGCAGGCCGTTCAAGTGAAGTCACTTGACACTAGAGTAACGGACAGAGAGGCCCACAAACTGGGGAGCACAAAGAACACATATTACTGACACCTCGACTGACTTTCGTTTATAATAAGTTAGAGCATATGACAGCTCTGGTCCGCAGGTGACAGCTCTGGTCCGCAGGTGGCTGCAGCTTCATACACTCTCACTCAAGTATGTTCCTTAATATCAAATAAAGCTTATACTTATAAATTTTTTTGAATAAAAGCGAAATTGCTGTTCAAGGCTGTGCAGTTATCTGAGACAGGACATCAGCTCTTAGCTTTTAAAATATATGCGAAAACTTTAAGCCTAACCTGGGAGAGACAGACAGACAGACAGAGGAAGGAGGGGACAGAAATAAGAAGTAATTTACTGATGTGAGCGAACTAGAAAAATCGCTAAGAAACAGAAAGAAAAAAAAAAACATTGGGAAAAGCGCTCATCTGTCGACAAGCAGAAGACACATTACTGGATTTATGGTCACTTGAGAGTCACTGTCAACTGATGAACATGAGACCACGGCAAGACTGATGAACATGAGACCACGGCAAGACTGATGAACATGAGGCCACGGCAAGACTGATGAACATGAGGCCACGGCAAGACTGATGAACATGAGACCACGACAAGACTGATGAACATGAGGCAACGCGAAGGTGAACGACAACAAATGAATTTACAGTTAACTTACATTTTTAAAAGAGAAAACTTTAGACGATTCATTGAATACATCCTGGAACACTGTCAAGGCGCAGTACTGCAGCCGTAGCAATGAGTTGTGTATTGTACGAATTGTTTGTGCATTTCAGCTTACAATATTGTAGGAATTTGTTGTGTATTGTAGGAACTGTGTATTGTAAGGATTAGTTGTGTATTGTAAGAATTTGTTATGTATTGTAGGAATTAGTTGTGTATTATAGGAATTAGTTGTGTATTGTAGGAATTAGTTGTGTATTATAGGAATTAGTTGTGTATTATAGGAATTAGTTGTGTATTGTAGGAATTAGTTGTGTATTATAGGAATTAGTTGTGTATTGTAGGAATTAGTTGTGTATTGTAGGAATTAGTTGTGTATTGTAGGAATTAGTTGTGTATTGTACGAATTAGTTGCACTTTGTAGGAATTAGTTGTGAATTGTAGGAATTAGTTGTGTATTGTAGGAATTAGTTGTGTATTGTAGGAATTAGTTGCACTTTGTAGGAATTAGTTGTGAATTGTAGGAATTAGTTGTGTATTGTAGGAATTAGTTGCACTTTGTAGGAATTAGTTGTGAATTGTAGGAATTACTTGTGTATTACTGGAATTAGTTGTGTATTACTGGAATTAGTTGTGTATTGTAGGAATTATTTATTAACTGTTTGAGCCACAGTACTGTGACATTCACAAAGAAACAACTGTGAGGTGTAATAAATAATCTGAGAATCTCTCAAGGGGAAAGACGTGTCTTAATGTTGCTAAAGGCTCTTGATCCGCGGAACTGGAACTACCATCCCCCCTTCCTCGGATTGAAGCTGATTGCCTCCTATTCTCCAGGAGCTGTATGACCCCCTACGGGTTTAACACTTCCCCAGGAATGTAATAATATTAGTATTAATACAATGACTAAAGAAGAAAATGGAATATTACAATAAAGAAAATGGGACAATAGAGAAGAAAATGGGACATTACAGTAAAGAAAATGGGACAATAGAGAAGAAAATGGGACATTACAGTAAAGAAAATGGGACATTGTAATAAAGAAAATGGGACATTACAATAGAGAAGAAAATGGGACTTTACAATAAAGAAAATGGGACATTGTAATAAAGAAAATGGGACATTACAATAGAGAAGAAAATGGGACTTTACAATAAAGAAAATGGGACATTACAATAAAGAAAATGGGGCATTGTAATAAAGAAGAAAATGGGACATTACAAAGAGAAGAAAATGGGACATTGTAATAAAGAAAATGGGACATTGTAATAAAGAAAATGGGACATTGTAATAAAGAAAATGGGACATTACAATAGAGAAGAAAATGGGACATTACAATAAAGAAAATGGGGCATTGTAATAAAGAAGAAAATGGGACATTACAATAGAGAAGAATATTTCAAGAGTAAAAGTCTGAAATTTCTAAAATGAATTAGAAAAAATTCGACATTCGAAAACTTAAAAAAATATAAACGAGAGAGAGAGAGAGAGATGGCAGACCAAATCTTTATTCTGACGACGTGTCGCTCAGCGCTTTACAAAACCCTGATAAAGCTTATAATTAGGACTTAATAAAGTTTGACATGGAGCGAAATGTTGTCAGACTAAAAAGTTTCTTTGCGATTTTATTTTTTTACCATATTTGGTAAAAGAAAGACAAACGCAATATAATGTTTGCCTTTACTGACGACGTTTCGCCCACATAGTCGGCTTTCTCGAGCCACAAACTATTTTTGCCTTTAAAAATCCCAGTGTGTGGGCGAAACGTCGCTAATAATCAGGTTATACTGCGTCTGCCTCTGTTTCGTCATCATTGACAGTCAAATCATACGTGAAAATACGACTTGGGAAGCTTTAAAAATAAAAATCCCAGTGAAGAGAAATACACAGAAAAACCGACATTGGGAAACTGAAACAAGGTGGGGGGTAGGGGGAACACGAAGGAATCCGTGAAACTAGGTGTGTGGGGGAGGGAACACGAAGAAATCCGTGAAACTGGGTGTGTGGGGGAGGGTGCACGAAGAAATACGTGAAACTGGGTGTGTAGGGGAAGGAGCACGAAGAAATCCGTGAAACTGGGTGTGTGGGGGAGGGAACACGAAGGAATCCGTGAAACTGGGGTGTGTGGGGGAGGGAACACGAAGGAATCCGTGAAACTGGGTGTGTGGGGGAGGGAACACGAAGGAATCCGTGAAACTGGGTGTGTGGGGGGGGAACACGAAGGAATCCGTGAAACTGGGTGTGTGGGGGAGGGAAACACGAAGGAATCCGTGAAACTGGGTGTGTGGGGGAGGGAACACGAAGGAATCCGTGAAACTGGGTGTGTGGGGGAGGGAACACGAAGGAATCCGTGAAACTGGGTGTGTGGGGGAGGGAACACGAAGGAATCCGTGAACTGGGTGTGTGGGGGAGGGAACACGAAGGAATCCGTGAAACTGGGTGTGTGGGGGAGGGAACACGAAGGAATCCGTGAAACTGGGTGTGAGTGGTGAGTCACTGACCAACGTCTCCTGAGCGCTTGCCGAAGATGGATCCGTTGAAAGGAGGCTTCCTGTAGCCAGCGCTGACTGGGTGGCTCAGCACAGCCAGGACCACCATCAACACGGCCACAACCACGACCATTCGCGTCTGAACGGACATCCTGCTGGAGAAAGTACATCATGTGCTGAAAAATTCTTAATATACAAATGTATCAGTTCCCTAGATAAATTATGACCTTTTTTTTTATTAAAAATTAGCCAGAACTCTATAGACTTTTGAGGATACAGTTTTGCATTAATTGCAAAACGTAATTGTAAATGACTTTGAATCACGTAGTTACTCCAAGCCTATTCCAAATACTGGTAAGCATCTGGCAAGCAAGTAATTAAGATATGGCTGAGTTATCAAAACTGCCCTTAAAAAAAATCACTATTTCATCTAATGAAAAGGAAAAGCATACATAGTTTAAAATTTTGAAGATAAAACTATTGAAGACAATGTCGTCAATAGTTCATGAAAGAAAAAGAAAAGTCATGGCTACAAGTAGAAGACGGCGAATGGGTTCAGGTTCTGATATTAAAGTAATGAAATACATTTAAAGTCTGAACTTACGAGTACAGGTAAGTGAGAGAAATATTACTGACCTTACACAATCATCAGCTTCCAGTATAAGGCAACACTCATCGAGAAACATCTAAGATCAAGACATTATAGCGACGTTTCCCTTCTCAAAACAAGGTAATTTCATTGGCAATATCGAAATAAAAAAATATAGAGAAATGAAGGAATATAAAGGAAAACAGCAAAAACAGTGACGACTTTCGTTCTAGGTTTGATGACATGTAAATAAAAAAAACGACTTCGAAACTTCTTGCACATTCTCACAAAAGTGATGTTATCAGCGGTGGTCGTCTTATCCCCACATCCATGGCTACATAAGCTGCGTCAGTTTTCTGGAAACTTTTGGATTATTAATAATAACTATTATTGTTGCGAAGCGCTCAACCCGTATGGGTCATTCAGCCCGGAGAGTGTTGGAGGTTCGAATCCTCCGTTTTCTAACAGCGAGACAGGCTAATTGAATAATTAGAATTTTTTTTGGAGCTGCTAGAAGGCAAGGATTTAAAAGACGATGCACAAATCCTAATCCACAGCAGAATTTTGAAACTGAGTTCCATATACATAACATCCTCATTTCTAGAGGACCACTGTGCAACTTGCTTCAGTTTTCGGTACAACTTTCTGCGTTTTCTGTGCTGACGTTACTAAAAATCGAAGTCTCGTTTTGTCCTCAATAATCAACGCCTGATGGAGCTTCTTCGTACCGCCTTGACATCATTTCAGCCGGACTTTCAAAGATTTACATCTAATTCTCGCAGTGATTAGCCAAACTATCAGTCAGTAAAAACTACCAGTAAAAACCCTAGGTTCAGCTTATGTTAAAAATCTTGTCGTCTACCACTGCGTAACTGATGTAAAGGGCACCTTTTCTTATCATTCCAGTTTTTTTTTTTTTCAAATCATGTCTAATGCGGCAACTATAATAAGCTTTTTTTGTGATCTAAGTCTTGTGCCTCACAGTTATCACGGTCATCACAGTGGAATGCTAGAGCACAGAATTATCACATTCTTGAAGAAATTACTATCATCTATTAAGATTTTTCTGAAGCATTGACAGGGGTGCTTCGAGAGGCGAGAACTAGATCTATCACACACTCTGCCGGTGGTGAGGATATGACCATTAAAATACTTGAGGTTGACGCACCAGTCATAGGAGACTGCGCACATTACCCGTAAAATATCATAATATGGAATATAATCAATAACGAAGATGAAAAGATTCACTCCAAAATGTCGGTGGGAGGGTGAAGCAACACATGAGTTATGGAGGAAGGAGATAAAGGTTTTTTTGTATCGAGTTTGTGTCGCTTGTGTTACTCGGGATTCAGCTCTGGCAGCTGTGGTATGTATCCAGCTGAGCCTCAGCTCAATAGTTTTAGTAACGAGACAGTGAGAGAGGGAGGGAGAGAGACAGAGACAGAGAAAGCTCCACTGAGTAGGTCGTTACTAAGACCAGCATCACTATATAGACAGACTGGTTATAAATGACCATAATTTTTAAAGGGGTGGACCGGTAAGCCAGCGGAAGGCCTCGGTCAGATGACCAAAAGCTCCAAAGGCGGGTCATCATCTGACTAAGACCCGCGTCAGGAAACATTTGTCCTGTTTCCTGACGAACCTTACCTAACCTAACCTAACCAGCATCACTGAGTGGGTTAAGATAACGTCACTGAGTGGGTTCACTGCTGGGTTAAGCCACGCCTCTGTTTCTGCGACTAAAAACACTCCTCTACAGCTCTTTTCTTCACCTCTCCCCACTCGCTTGTTCTTCCCATTTCCCCGTTCTCCCCGCTTCCCCGTTCTTCCCTCTCATCCACTCTTCCCTCACTTGACAGTGATTTGATTCGGGTCACAAATAATAATACATGAATAAAATAATTATCCTATTCCTAGTTTCTCCTCTATCATTCTTTCACTTACGCTCCTTTCGTCGCTCTTTCTACTTCCATCCTTCAAAAAAAAAAAAAAGTTATCTCCAGACTGAGGGACTGACCGCCTCAAATACTATTTCTCCAAGGTTGAACTGATTACATCTTCATTTCACTACTGCCGGTGACTGAAGAACCCTACTGTGTAGGAGAAACATTTCAACAATAAAGATACCCAACTGTTGCATATGTTTCTAAATCATCAAGTTGTCGGTATTTTATACCATTTTCAACACAAACAAGGGAAATGTGCTATAAATATCCTATACTTAGTAATGTGTATGTGAAATGTTAATATAATGTAATGCATTAGACACAAACTACCAAACTGTTTGTGAGGAACCGAGTGAGTGTTTCCAACTGAGTGGGGAAGTGAGGAGGGGGGGGGGTGTTGTGTAGACGGCAAGAGTTGGTGTTGGTGAGGGTGTGGAGGGTTGACAGCTGGTCGTCTCGGCTATTTTTTTTTTTTTTGACCCAAGGGGAGAGGTCATAAAAGGAAAACTGAATCTGAGAGATTACCGCCCGGGTGGCCGTCCTGAGAGGTGGATTTAGTCCTCTCAAGGAATTTGGAAATGGGCCGAATCTTCAAATGAAATTAACGAAGGTGTAATAGCAGCGGTATCGTCAGAAATTGATGAAATTTACACCACACGTCATGTCCACCTCCCAGTGTATTAATTCTCACTACAGGTATGTTAATTTATATTGGTAAATGAATTGCCTACTGTAAGGGAGGCGTTAGAATATAACGCCAAAATCTTATTTTGGTAAGTAATATTGAAATGTCCTTTATACTTTTCTAATCATGTAATTGATTTATATTTATATAAAATTACCCAGGCAAATTACTCAGGTCAAGTAATTGATATTACCGAATATATATAGTTCACATATAATTTGTCAGTGTTACTGGCATATTTTTTTTTTTAATAATATTAAGAACTATATGTTCTAATAATTTAAGGTCCAGATGTGCGAGACGTGATGACCTGAGAAGGTGGGCACGAAAGACGGATATTATTGTGACCTGGTGTCCTTAAGTCCTCCTCTACTCTGAGCTACATCAATAAGTGTAAACTGTTTGATGTACCAAAGTTTTTTCACAGTTATGGGGGCGAAATGTTAATTCAGGACACTATAAAATTTACCCACATAATTTCTTACAAAGATAGTATCGGGTTCCCATTTAAGTTTTACTAGAGTAATAATGCAGTCTCTGATTTACTGAATGAATCAGTACGAAACGCTATGATTACTGGGCGAGTCAGAAAAAACTCCATGACCTGCTGAGAGAAGCACAGGAAACTAAGTGAATCACTGGGGAAAAGCCTTCGATGTACCGAAGATGAAGACGTAAATACAAACGCACACCCTCCAGTAGTAAATTATTTCAGGAAAGATAAACCGGTGCAACAGTGAATGTTTAGTAATGTTCTTTTGTCGGAGTGCCGTGGTCAGTAAGGGGGAGGGGGGTTGAGGGGAATTCGAGTGAAGGGAAGGGGAGTTAGAGGATTAAGGGAGAAGGAAGGGAAGAGAGTGAGAGAGAAGGAAGGAAAGATTAGAGGGTGAGGGGGGGGGGGAGGAAGAGAAGATAGAGGGTGAGGGGTGGAAAGGAAGGGAAGCGAGAGGGGACGGGGAAAGGAAAGAATGTTGAAGATAAGGAGGACGACGAAGGTTATGAATCTTAGATCATAACAAGAAATTGTCTTCAGGATGCCAGTAAAGATGTTTTGGATAGCCATAAAAACAACATCTTGGGATCGTAATATCTTACTGTAGGATATACTACTGTGAGGTGACAATTTATTTTTTAAATAGGGTATGAAACTAAACTGAACTAGATCAGCAGATACTTAATCAGTGATCGGGTGATCAACTTAAGTGTCAGGAGACACTCTTGTTGTGTCCTGAGGAATCAACTGCCACCACCACATGCGCATCCCGTGACGTCACATAACAGTCACAGGCCTAAAAGGGATCTCCTATCTAAACCACATGGATGATACTAATATGCTATACAACACAGGGATCAGCAACTATGCTGACATCTCTACTTGCACCCTGAATGACCCTCGTATTGTTGATAGGCCTGCGCCCCAATTAATCAGTCTCACAACTGTCTTCACAGACTGAGGGGGAAGCATAAACACGCGTCAGTATCAAAACTTCAGACCAGGTGACTATCTGTAGATGTAATCAACCTTGATAGTCTCCGCCGTGTGTGTGGACGGCCACAACACACAACTCAGGTGTTCCCTCGCGCTCCAGAATTCTTGTTGACTTTCTAAATTAGAGAAGGAAGGGCTTCTCTTGAAGCAAACTCTGAGTCTCCGCTAGCCTGAGTTGCTGGCGTCGGGGCTTCTGCTTTATCAAACTATTTCTTTTTGATTATAATAATAATAATAATATCAAACTATTTACGATGCGACCCGACAAACGTTCCCAGTTGTCCACACTTCCTAAGCCCGCCCACTCAGAGAGAGAGAGAGCGCGCGCACACACACACACACACACACACACACACACACACACACACACACACACACACACACACACACACACACAAGACTCTTCAGTATCTAGTGATGAAAGTTTTCTCCTGCGTAACATGCTT